TTTTTATTTTTATGCAAAAAGTCCATAAGGGGTCTCCAGTCACCAATAAATGTAGATATTGTCCTTTCTCTAATCAAAGAAGTCAGTTTGCCATCTCAGCAAATTCTGTCAATTTCACCAACTATTCCTCCATAGTGAGTAGTGTTGAATGAAAAATGTGCCACTTGGTAAGCTGACCCTCAAAACTGTTGTATGTTTTTGTCAATATATTCAGAAGGACTTCATTTGTTTTCATATTTTGTATCAATAAAAGTTGTTTCCCAGAATAGGTTTTAAATTTTCACAATTGGCTTATCCATGGGTGGCACATTTTTCACAGTATTTTGGTTTGGCTTATCCATGAGTATATACGGGTACTTTAAAAAAAAGTATTACCGTATATACTCACAGATAAGCCCATCTGCAGATGAGCCGAACCCAGCTTTTGTGGTGTATTTTCAAACCTTATCCACAAGTTTATATGGTATTGGCTGGTGGTTGGGAAAAAGGAATAGAAGGGGAGAATGTGTCACCAAATTCTCCTTCACTGTGTTTTTACATATGCTCTATTTTTCATTCTGCTTTTTATATTTTTATTCTTCACTGTATTGTACTTTTTAAGCTTCTGCAATATAATACAATTTTAAAAAGTGGGGGGGGGGAGAATTTCCATGCCATAAATTCTGCAGCAAATGAAAAGGTGGGTCAGATCTCTTGGTTAAGAATTGCTGTGGAAAGATGAGAATAGCCTCTGGAATATCGTTTTGCTTCCTCGCCATCTTGCTTGTGGAGGTTTATAAAAATCCAAATTGTTCTGAAAGACTTTTCATATTGGCGCTTGGAGTTAGCGGGTGGGCTGTTTAATCTGCCTGTGCGCAAGGAGAAAGGTGTTGCGTGACACTGAGTTGCGGTTCAGCAAAACAAAGGAGGACTGGAAGAACGTTCTGGCATCGGCCTGGCCTTCCGACGTTTCTCTGTTTCCTCTCAGCAGGGGCCCAGCACGCCGCGGTGACTGCCGTCTCTTCAGCATCTCCCCCAGCCCCCTTCCAGAGTGTCCCTCCATCGGTGTCACAGACGCCTGTAATTGCCGTCACACCTGTGCCAACCATCACTGCAAATGTCACCCCCATCACTGCCCCCCCTGTGACGCCTGTGCCACCTACCCCGCCTCCTGCCACCCCAATCATGGCAGTTGTTCCCCCAACGCCACCAATCGTCAAGGTAATTGGGGCCGAGGGGGCACCTTCCCTCTCTGTGCATGCGGTACAGCTTCTCTGGGATGGCGAGGGTGCTGGGGGCCTTTGGGAACAATTCTCCCTCTGCTCCCACTACCCCTTCCTTGCTTGCTTGGCAGATGTTGGTTCGTTTCTGGTCTCAGGCCAGAAAGACGCCGAGACACTGCGATCCCTCTGGCCATCCTGCATCCTTCTGAGGTTCCCTGTAGATGGTTCGTCTCACCCACGTTCTTGGGGACCTCTTCTCTTCCTGCCCCCTTCTTATGGGCTGTGCTTGAATTTCAGAAAAAGGGGGTGAAGCGGAAAGCGGATACCACCACACCCACCACGTCGGCCATCACCGCTAGCCGGAGTGAATCCCCCCCTCCGGTTTTGGACTCGAAGCAGGCCAAAGTGGTGGCTCGGCGGGAGAGTGGTGGCCGGCCCATCAAGCCGCCAAAGAAGGACCTGGAAGACGGGGAGGGCCCCCAGCACGCGGGCAAGAAGGGCAAGCTCTCAGAGCACCTCAAATACTGCGACAGCATCCTCAAGGAGATGCTGTCTAAGAAGCACGCCGCCTACGCCTGGCCCTTCTATAAGCCAGTGGATGCCGAGGCCCTGGAGCTGCACGACTATCACGACATCATCAAGCACCCCATGGACCTCAGCACTGTCAAAGTAGGTCGCCTTCACCACCTCTGTATGTTAGCCTAGCACCATCGCTGCCTGCTGGACTGAGGGTCTGTTTCTGAACAGTTTGCCCAGGGAACTTTGGCAGGTGCCTAGGAGGCAGCCCAGAGAAATGAAATGAGCTGCCCCCCAGCCCCGTGTCTCACCTAGCAGGTGGAATCTGCTCTCGTGAGTCCCCCGCTGGTTCTGCTTGGCCCAACGAGGCTGCCCCTTCCCACCTGTTGCAAGTGGGGCTGCAGCGCTACTGGAGCCCCTGGTCCCTGCCCGTGCCTGCCTTGCTTCCAGCCCTGGCAAGGCTAGCCAGGTTTAACAGACAGCCGCCGGCCTGCAGTATGTTACCTGCGCAGCCCCGGGGTTCCTTGCTCCCAGTCTCTTGCCTCATTTCCTCTCCTGGAGCTGTTCCATCAACCGAGGGCTGTACAGGGTTATGCACTCAGGCGTGCCCCAGGCAAGGCTCTCATTGTGTGCGCATTCTGAGCTGCGGGTAAGGCCTCAGGCAAACCATGCACCAGAGCTTCAGGAAGAGCACCAAGTTCCCTCTGTAACCCCTCTGGATCAACCCCCCCCCCCCCGTGGGGGGCAGCCCCCAAGAAACCCCGGGCCAAGAGGACATGACCTGTCCATGGCAACGGACTGATGGTAACATCCCCCAGCTCCAGATCACAGCACCTGTGCCCAAGGACAAAAAAACAGAAGCAGTGCTTGGACTCCTCTGTGAGTTGTGGCCCCAATAAGTTGGATCCGGTCCACCCCCTGGACTCCCTCTG